GAACTAAGGGCTGTGTTATTTTTGAAGGGGAAGCTGACTTTGTAACTTGCGGTTTGCAATGAGCTGCAAAGACCTGCAACACACTAAGGGCTGTAGTTAGTGTGATGATGTCATTTAGAGATAAATCCTGGAGCTAACAGTAGCAACTCCTAGAAAGCTATGACAACACCCTTGCTGATATATGGGGACATGTCCTAATGGATGCAGCTCTTCACTGGAAGATTTAATATCTGTGTCTGTAACAGTGTTCAGTGTAAATGAACCAAAGATCAGTTCAGGTCTTGATACTCTGAGTTCCAATGTGGGGACCCAGTCTGTGTTGTATTGATTTTACTGTCCACTGTTATTGTTATTATTGAATGAGAGTTTAAATTATCTTCTTTTAGTGTGAATTTCCCTTTAAGCATGTTGCAAATGCAAACAAAGAAGTTCTTGTGAGTAGAAAAACCATGCCATAGCCCCATCTAGTGGCAGTATACAAGCAATGCAGCAAATAGAACAAATGCTACTTGTATTCATTGAAATTGTAATCTATCTATCCCGCATTATTAGAGTTGCAAGTAAGGTGGATGACTAAAAGGAAATTATATCATGTCCTTGTTTGTATTTGTTTGAATTGTTGAATTGCAGAATAATTTGTCTTGAATTGTATATGTATTTTTTTGCATACAGTATTCACCAGGCTAATTGTCTTCACACGGAAATTTAGCTGAGACATTTTACTTACCTTGTTCATCTTGTATCATTGCGGTATTTCCAGGCATGGGTCTAGAGTTGATCCTAGCATTGGCCCAAATAGATTGGAGCTATCTGCAGCCCAGTGGCTCAGTGTGGTGAGGATCAATGATTTACCAATGACTCAATGTTTAACTGAGAAAGGGAATATGTAACTTGGTATTTGACCATCGAGAATTTGGATTTAACTTCCTAAATCTAGCCTGAAGAAAATCTCCCAGTTTCACGATATATATGCAATTTAGTTTACCTTCAGACATTAAATCAGTCTAATCACAGTGCAACCACTGACAGTATGGATCTCTAACAGATGGATTTGTGGGGTTTAGCACCACAAACAGAGGAGAGTAATTATAAATCTACTTACTACTTTAATTGTTGTGCTGCCGAATCAATGAACTTACTCACGTGTTATCTGTCTGACTATCAGCTACATCAGATCTACAAAGGAAATTTAATGGTTAAAAATACCTACTTCAACTTTATACTTCCGGGCAGTGCACTGTCAGAGTGGGTGGTTCCATTGCCATTGGTGCTATATTAAGGTTAAGCCAAAATTACATGACACAGCAGTATATGAAGATAACTAAGTTAAAAAGACTTTACAGCTCTCTAACATTAGCAATATTTTTTCAGGTTGATACAAATGAATAAATAAAATTTGAATAAATTAACCGGACTGTGGTTTATATGAGAATTTTATTCCAAAATTAGCAATTTATCATTTGAATTAACCCCATACACCACTTTTTTTAAAAGTTAAGAATTTGTTGATGCTGCTTACAAGAGGTTGATGTTTTTTTTTAGAAATAGCATTTATAAAGAAAAGACATGATGGGAATACACTGATGCAGTGTGCATCTGATTTCCCCCAGTGCATCTAACCCTGACAGCATAAACTATCCAGTGATTGAAGCTACTTATCATGCAGGTTCCCATCCAAGACAAACTCATATGCCTGCTTGTCTTGTCCTCTACTTCCTTATCTGATTTGATGTTTCATTGATTCAATTTGCCTGTCCGAGCGAAACAAGACAAAATGCACACACCAAAAAACAAAATAATAATAACAAGAGCCAGGATTCAGAAGCTGGAAATACCAACCGTTTATTTTCTACTTTTTGTGACTACAGAAATGTTGAAACATTTGAACACTGAAAAAAGCTGGATGACATCATCACTTGCTTCTCAATTTTCTTTCTTTTTTTTCATTTGCTTAGCAATCACAACAGATGATATTGCACGGCACTGAGAAAGCAGTAGCAAAGCCTGGGAAACAGCAATGATAAATCAAGTCATGAGACATGGAGTTATACATCTGAGAGTAACACCGACAGTATTGCCTCTCCGACACACACACGCACGCACGCACATACATACACACACCACCACACACGTACACACACACTCGCAAACACATACACACACGCACACACACCCATTCTGAAAACTGAAGAAGCATTGTGAGTTGAGAAGGAGGCCAAAAGAAAGAGATCAAGGTTGACAAGAGCACAAGGCTGACGAGAAGCAATGAGATTTCATTTTGAAATGCAAGTGCAAGATGAACTACTACTGTAATCTATTCCTAAATGTCTATGACAACAAATATGCTTGTTTATCAAAACCCTTCAAGCATCTTTGTATATGAATAGCTGGAGGACACCCCTCTGCGGGTGAGAAACTAGTTCCCTCAGCGTAAGAGATCCAGATGATTGTCTTAGGCGCCGCAGTATTGTTATGAGACTTGTAGCCAAGCTACCCATCATATGGGAACTCCTTATGGACAAAATAAATAACATACAATAGGGGGAAAAATAGATTCACACTGCATCATCCATTCCCTCTTTAATACAGGTCTTTATTACTGTTACGTAAGCACCTGTATTTTACTGAAAAACATTCTCCATTCTGTGACATAATGACTGCATAACATGCTGATGTGATCTGCCATGGACATTTTGGTGATGAGCTTGAGTCCTTGGACATGCTGTGCTGTCTGCATGACAGAGAGGAGGCAGTACTAGCAGTAAGGCCTCTGACAACCAGAGGGAGTCAGACTTACTGTAGTGATACACACCAATCAGCCACACACATGCATACACACCTGTAGTACGTACAACACACAGTAAAGAAATACATGCAAATTAACACACACACACACACACACACAAACGTGTATTACCTCAGCAGTACTTTGACATTTGAGCTGCACACACACACACACACAGTCACACTTACACTGACAGTAAAAGAAATGAGCAGTCCAGGTGATCGTCCCCATACACACTCACACACTGATTCCTTGGTAAGGTTCTTTGCAGTTTTATTAGACTTTGCTCATAGTCATTACACGAGTACGTACCAAAAGAACAGATACTAGATGGAGTGAGGCGGCAGTGCCACGGCAATAAAAACAGACCCAGCTCCGTGGCACAGCCCCTGGCAGACCGGCTGCCCAGCCTACACTCCACCTCACTCTGTGCATGAGACAGCAAAGTGAGCAGGACTTGGAGCCCTCGTTTCAAATGCTTCAGATTGTACATTGAACAGGAGATTCCCCACATGGTAGAGTAAGCTTGTCTACATAGCCCTACGCCTTCTACATTCTATACCCGTGCGAATGGCAAATCAAAACTCAACAAGTCTACCTCACAAATGCCAGTGCTTTTCAACATTATACATATTTTTTTTCCAATTTTTGGTTTGTTTTAAAAATCTTTGGATGTGCAGTAATACCCATAAAATAACAGTTTTTAAAAAGTCAAAAGAATAGAAAATACATACACACACACACGTACACACTGCTTTTTGCCAGCTGTTCAACAAAGTAGCTCCTGTATAACTTTGTCTGCATTGGCAAATCAACTGTCTGGATTTCTGGCAGTGTTTAAAACACACATTGAAATGCCGGCTAGGATTTAGCTGAAGAAGAATACAAACTACTCCTTTGTTATATCTAAGCGTGGGAAATAAGGCTGTAACATAAAACTGTCTTTTTTGTTTGTTTTTTTCTCCAAAAACCTACTATATACAAATCTAGAGTTTCTACAAATGCATAAATTAAAGCAGTGGTTAACCATTACAAAAATGCAATTAAATTAAAATCACAACACAGAAGTAGAGAAAAGGGAAAATATGAACACAATATCACAGCAGTTGGTTTTACCCTGTAAAAGCAATAGTTTACCATCATATTATTGGCATAACCCAATGTCTGATAAAAAATACGCTTCTCCCTCCATCCCTTAAGTTTCATACATCAACCCTGAAACTTGTCCTCCGTGACTTGAAACAGAGCACTTCTGCCAAAAAAACAACAACTTCAAAATAGATAATCATACAGCTTTTTGAAGTAACAATAACAGTTACCACACGAGTGGAGTTCTGCCTTACTCACAGATAGACGTCTCAATGCAGAACTCAAAGGAATTATTACTATGAGGTATTCAGAGACATTGGTAAAGACATGCACGGCCAGAGTGCTGGACCTTCGTACACACAGCAGAGAGAAAAGGAAGGTTGAGGGGAAGAGGGGATGGAGGGGTAAAAGGGGGCAGGGGAGAGGAGAAACAAAGACCTTTGGTTTAATCTGTAGAAGTGGACAACAGAAATTCCTTTGGTATGTTTTCATTGCATGGTTGCGCTGGCGAAAGGACCACGGTGTGATTAAAAAAATCAAAAAAAACAAAAACCTTTTTCTTGTTTCTTCAGTAGTGGCCCTTCTACAGGCTGAGGTATTCACAGAGTCAAAGGTGAGAGGTCAACAGCGGTTTAACACTTTGGTTCAAGCAAGGCACTCGTCCTGGGAGTTTTAGAAAGATTGCAACACGTCTGCTTCTACTTTCAGGAACATGTCTGCCTATAGTTGAGTCAACAATTCTGCCCATGGCTATGTCAGCTTGTCTGCTTACTGTCATGTAAGGATGGCTGACCTCTTTGGTGGATCAATAATATCAACCTATAGATACACACTAAGAAGCAGGGCCAAGTAGCAATAAAGCTGCATTAAAAATACACTCAGGCAGGGTACTTCATCAAATTCACATTGATTATTTAGAAATTAATCATGAACCAAACAAATAGTAAATGCTCACATTGCTACAATGTCCTCTTTTACATTTGAATCTGTCGTTACTGCCAATAAAGTGGTAGAAATGAATATTTTGCTAGTGCTAACAAGCACAAATAAAGTCTGATCACATTGCTAGGGAGTTTGCTGTACCCCCGGGCACCTGCGTGGCTGCTTGTGTGTATCTATGGCTAGATCAGCATATCTGCCTATAGCTACATCAGCATGACTACCTATGGAGCTGTAATCAGAGCACAGATGAAGCAAGAGCACGCATAGCAGGGGTGCATGGGTTGAGTGCAGGTGGGAGGGGGAGAAAGGGGAGAAGAAAGGAAGAGAGGGGGAGAGAGAGAGAGAGAAGAGATGGGGGGAGGGGGAGACATACAACATCTTTTAACACCACTCATAGAGGCCGTGCAATGAGAAAAAATCTTTGGTTATCTTTGGTATCATCAAAGTGATAGAAATCACGTATGGAACTTGAGTGAGGTAGCATCTTTGGTCACACTATAAAACATCAGCAGGTCTTGACACACTTTTGTTTCTTGTCGTCTTTTTGGTTTTTTTTTTCTTTCAGAGAAGAAGAAGCAGCTCTCTCTAGCCTCTCCTTCAGCGCTTTTTCTGATGAATGTAGAGCTGCTAACCCTGGCCATGAGGAGGATGACGGCAAGGGGCCAGCTCAATATATTTAATGATGCTCTGCCCTGGGCCAGCCCTGTGTAGTGCTTTCCTCCTAGTGCTGAAATGCATAGCTTACCAGGAGAAAGGAGGCAGGATGGGCGGAGGGTGGGGGTGCTTTCGTATTCAGGTGATGAGCTGACATTGCTTTGTAAGCGTCTGAAAGTGATTTGATCATTGATATCATCCCCTCCACCCAACATCTTTGATGAAGAGGATAAAATCAAATACATATGAAGCGCACAGGGACAATGGAGCACCGCTGAATGCTTATTATTAGAGTGGTGACACAGTTTGTCCTCTCCTGCACGCTGTCATGACCACACTTATGACAGCCAGCATCTTTTGTTTTCACCTCTGTGGAGAAAACACACTACTGAATGGATTGAATCTTTTTTTTTTGCCAGCTGCTGGTATTCAAAGACATCAATTAGAGCTAAATCTATAGGCATTGGTTGAACAGAGATACAGGAAAGGATGATTAATCTTCACAATGAGCCTTTACAGAAACATTCACACAGACTGTTTGTGAAGATATAACTGGAATATTTAGTTTGATTCAAGAAGGCATCTATAAGGCAAAGGTCAATAGTTGATTTTCAGGGCTGTGTCATATAGTATTTCCATTTGCAGGGAGCATATATTTAAGTATGACTCAAAATGCTGTATGGACCATAAGCAGTAACACTGTCTTCTTAGTGGCGTCTAACTAACAGTCTGACTTAGGAGGCAATGGAGGAAATGATGTAAAAATAGTTTTACGGTTATCAACTACAAAATATAATCTTTGGTCAAATTACTTTATAGCAGGTTCTTACGTGGTTCTATCTCTAAGCTGCATGAGAGGCTTCAGGGTGTAGAAGGCTTTTGTTTATCTTGTTTAAATTATTCAACGTTTCAGCATGTTGGAAGAAAGCACTACCATTTGGGTTGAGGTTAGGGTTTTTTTGGTTTGGTTCAAGGGTTGGGATTTTGGTTTTGGGTTAGCAGTCTACACATGGGCATTTCCTTGTCTGTCTGGAATGCTTGATAGAAAGACAGACAGCTGGAGAGACAGACAGTCCACTGCCACCGATCCAAGAGGTTGCACAACAATCCAGTCGCTCCTGTAGGATTTTTTTGTCTTTAAAAGTTGATTGGCCAATCCCACCGGAGCTCCACATTCTGGCTGTTCTTCAAGGGTGTGGACAGCTGCAGATCAGACTGCCAATAGGCTGATTAAACCTCCATTTAGGGACCCATCATTAAAACCAACCAATCAGATTAAAGATAAGGATGGTGAATGATAGATTTATACTGGGTGGGGAGGTGTGGGGGATATAGTAAAGCTATAGACCAGTGACAGTGAGTGTGTGTGTGTGTGAAGGGTGG